TATGGCACTTACAAAAAGTTTTTGTTAATGTAGGATGTTGAAGGATAGGGTAATGTTAGTGGTGGTGATAATAGCACATTATTGTAGAATATTTACAATAAATTAATCAACCATTGACTATTTGTGGAGTGTTCATTATATCTCAGATACTATAGTAATAATAAAAATAAAGAGGTTGTTTTATTCTTTTAAAAATAAAACATTTATATATTTTTTTGCTTTCTGCTAAATATTGAATGTAGAAAAAAATTTTGGTAGAAAAGACGTCATGGCAAGTTAAAAATAGCAGACAAAGCATATTCATTTACCTTTCCTTGCTTAAAAAAGAATTAAAAACACACCAAAAATCAGGAAAGGAATAAGGGACTTAGGTCCACAATGACAAAAAGAAAGGGAAAGGATTGATTACCAAATGAAGGATGAAAACAAATATCTGGAAAGCAGATCTCAGATGGAGATGACTGTCAGGGGGAGGTCTTAGTTTGGAAACACCTAGAACAGACTTGTTCATGGACGGGCTAGTCATGACATACAGCCACAAATAGGGGGATTAATTAATAGTTTGTATTTGCAATAGTCTACTTCCTACCCATACCACTGACAAATAGGTCAGTGGTGTTCTCCACAGAGAGAATGAATGATCCCAGAGAAAAGACTTCTGGGATTTAGAGTTCCTTCATAATAGTAGTGAGTTTCCTACCTGATTGAAGTGAAGTCATGAATCAACAAGCCGAATGTTCCCATCTTCCAGTTAGCTTTTTAATCATTCTTAAGTATAAAAGGACATTTAAGGATCATTTAAAGAAAGCCTCTACTATGAAAGTATGTCAAATTAACAAGTAGGAGGAAAAAGATCTCAGAGGAAACAAATTAAGCTGAACTTCAAAAAGTATTTATACACCAAATGTGTGGAAAAGCAAAACAAACTGTTTTTCCTCTACCCTCACAGCACAATTATCAACACAGAACATTGACTTGGGACTTCTGTGACCAAATGTATGGGGTTTTTCTCCCCTCCAGCAAACAAGCAATCCTGCAGTGGACACCAGCTGGGTGGCTTCTAATTTAATTCGTTTCCAACACTACCTGGAGATAACTCGGATCCCACAGGTTGAGGGTTCGGTCTCCAAGACTGCCCCCCCACCCCAATTCTGATGCCAGTCACAAGCTACAAGTTGTTTTATCTGGGCTTCTGACTGACTGGCTATAAATTGGGGTTCCCACAACCCCTTCCTTGGGTTCGATTAATTTGTTGAGTAGTTTACAGAACTCGGAGAAACACGTTTACCCGTTTACTATAAAGGATGTCACAAAGGATACAGATGAAGAGATGCACAGGGTGAGGTACGGAGGAAGGGGTGCAGAGCTTCCATCATCTCCCCGGATGTGCCACCCTCCAGGAACCTCCATGTGTTCAGCTATCCAGAGAATCTCCAAACCCAGGCCTCTTAGGTTTTTATGGAGACTTCATTACATAGGCATTATTAATTAAGTCATTGGCTACTGGTGATCAACTTCAGCCCCTCTCCACTCCTTGGAGTTTGGGGGGTGGGACTGCCTTGGTCTTTCTGGTGACTAGTCCCCATCCTGAAGCTACCTAGGAGCTGCCAGCCATCAGTCAATCTATTAGCATATAAAAAGACAGCACTTTAGAGATTCTAAGGATTTTAGGACTTGTGTGCCAGGAGATTGAGATGAAAACCAAATATATTTTCACAATGTCACATTATTACATTTGTAAAACAAGAACAGGCTGCTATGAAAAATGAATAATTACAGGGGAAAACACTCATGGGAATTATGACATAGTTGCTGAAATAAAAATTCAAAAGACCAGTTGGAGGAGAAAGTTGAGAAACTCTTTCCAAAATTAGAAAAAAGAAAAATACTGAAAAAGGTGAGAAACATTGAATCAACCCAGGGGCCAAAAATCCAACCAAAAGGGGCTCTAGAAAGAGGAGACGGGGGAAAAATTATGAAGGAATGAATGCAATTGATTGTGCGTCTCCAGAGTGAAAGGGCCGATCAAGTACCTGGCACAGTGTCCAAAAACCAGCCCCACATTTAGGCACTTTTTAATATTAAATATATGGAGACTATCCCAAAAGTTTAGAGGGAGAAATAAAAAAGCAAACAAACAAAAAGATCACCTGAAAGTAATAAGAATCAGACTTATATCAGTTTAGTTCAAAAAGTTCATGGAAAATAGAATTAAAAGATATAAATCTTTCCATGAACTTTTCGAAGTTACCCTTGGATGTCTTTATATATATGTATTCTAAAATTACAAAGGTGAAAAACTAAAAATACTGTTTGAGAGGATGTGTGAAATGGTGTAAGTGAGCTAAAACCTCAGCCATCATAGCAGAAAGTCAATAAATGATGTCTAAAACTGGAAAATCAAGAAATAACACACAAGCATATAATTTAAAGACAGGGAGTTAAAAACCAAGGTAAAGCATTAAATGATTTTGAAGAATTAGCCTTGGGAGAGGGTGTACAGTTCCATTTCACTTTGAGCTTCTCTGTACTGTTCTTTTTAATCAATGTGCAAAATGAATTTGAAATGTAAAAACACTTTTTTTAAAAAGAAAATATACTAGAATTACGTACTATGATGAACACTATCCTTGCTATTGGAATATCTGGATTCTGGTCAATTTTACTGAACTGTTTTTGTACAATTTCAACAGAAAATGCATGTCTTTGCAATCAGAAGAACTACATACCTTGATCTTACTCTGGTGGTTTCCATAAGCCCAATTCATTTTACCAGGGACCTTGTGTGTATAGTACCGTCACTCTTTTAAGCAGCTATTACATTTTAATCTGCATCTCTTCCACCTTCGACTTCTCCAACAAGTATCCTGTGTAGTTCATGCATTTGTCATTAGAAAGATCAAAGGAGTTGGGGTGAGTAGGCTGGGTTAAAGAACAGACTGACGTTTACTGACCCTGGATCGAGCAAGTCACTTAACTTGTCCTGTGGACTCTGTGTGGTGAGAGTATACTGAAAAAGTGTATTTTTGTGTGCTTAAAGTATGATATAAACAAAGATTATTATTCTGTATGAACCAAAACTCAGGACTGCTTCATCTTTCTATCCCTGTGGCTGAAACCCAGGATGGAGTGGCATATGTTCCACTTGTCCCTGAGGGGCTGTAAACTCAGCTTGGGGGCTTACTTGTCCAATGCACAGTCTCTGGGGTCAGCCTGTAGCATAGGCTCGGCCTGGAGAAGAGGAGACTCAGTGGCCCAGGGACCATCCTCCCCAGGGGGCAACAAGTGCTGAGCACAGGCTTCCTCTTCTGCCACTATGGCTGAACAGTGATTAATGCCAAATTAACACCTTGCTCAGCGACCTTTTAGCATTAGCTGCTGCTCTCCTTCACTTCTCATAAGTATTTGCAAATATTAGCTTCTCAGATCGTTTCTCCTTATCAGCAACTTTCACAGATGACAGGGAGATTGTTAATCTGATTGGCATTCAGTTTGCATCCTTTGCCTCATCATGAATGTGTCTGTACTCTGGCATCTCCTCAGAAATCTGATAACCAGCCCAACAATCTCTACAGTTTTATAGAGGGAGAGTGTCAGCAGGAAGATACCCACAGGAGCTCTGGAAGGTTGGCTTCAGAGGCAGAGAGTTTGGGAAAGGTGAAGGCTGCCTCCCAGCTCTCTAGGGGACCCAAGGATAGGTGAAAATCAGCTTCACATCATGTAATCAATGTTCAATTTTTTAAAAAAAATTAAGTTTGCTGGTTCTGCCTGCATTAAGCTTTTTTCTTTTTCTTTTTTAAATTTGCTTGCACCTTCAACACAAAAATCACGTACTGCTTAGGTCATGAAAGCCAGAACATTAAAAAATTGAGTTTGCTGGTTCTGCCTGCATTAAGCTTTTTTCTTTTTCTTTTTAAAATTTGCTTGCACCTTCAACACAAAAATCACGTACTGCTTAGGTCATGAAAGCCAGAACATAGAGCTTGGGAAATTAGGGTTGATAAGAGGCCAGTCCTCTCCTTCCTGTTGTTTCCTCTTAGTTGTCCTAACCCCACTGCCTGCCCGGCACACTAGAACCTTTCATTTGCTAGAGCTCTCCTTAGCTGCTCACAGTAGTGGCAGGTCTCTTCAGCATGAAGTACTAGATGAAGCATTTTGCATTTGCAGTCATTTAAATTTATTTTTATTTCCAGTCTCTTATATCTCCACCCTTTATTGAAATCCCTGTTCTAGAAATGTTTGATTGGTCTTCATTTTCCCTAAATAAGCAGTAGTAAAGTGTACTGTGGATAGTTTAATTTTGCTGTTAAATGTATTTTAGAGAAAAGTGGCAAAAATGTGTCATATTTTTTCTCCCTTGTCACCCCCAATATGATCTAAATTACTTATAGTTTGATACTCACAAAACAGAGAAGGATTTGGGATATTTACTTTTCACAAAAGAAAAAGGGATTGAAACTGAACACTGTTAACTGAATGTATTTGCTCCAGGGAGCCACTTCTGGACCCTAATAAGAAAGTCTGCAGCTTCCCAGTGACACCCATGCCTAGCAGAGTGCCTGACACATAAAATGTTTGCAGAATTGCAAATTTGAAAATAGTGGATAGACTAGGTATCTCAATAAGTGAAGTCTTAAATCAATAATAAATAAATAAAGTCAGCAAGCATTTTGGAAAATGCTGAGCAGTTTAGAGCCTCTTAGCCACAGGATATACTGAGCAGTAGCATAATGCTCCCAGTTACTATGAGTTCTAGTTACAGGCTATGGATTCCACCAGAGGAGACCGGCTATGCTTAGATCCCAGCTCCTATGGCTTGATAAAGTCCAATGACAATGACCACACCCCAGGGCTCCTCATAGAGAGTTTGGGTAGGATCATGAGATTCAGGATTTCGTATTGGTGTGGCCTGACAAGGTCCTTCATTTGTCATATTCCAATCATCCCATCTTGTATACTTAATGAGGGTTCTATGGATGTTTTCGTTTTCTCTGCCGTAGGAGATATTGACACACCTGAATCCATGGCCCCTGTCATTGTGGTTCCCCCAGGCAACAGAAGTGTGGTGGCTGGGTCCAGTGAGATCACCTTGGAATGCATAGCCAGTGCCAGGTATGAGATACGCTTTCTTCCTAGGAATACTAGTAATTACTTTGTGATGAGAGAATGATGGAAGGACAATGACGCATGTATGTGGCTTACTGCTCTAACAACAGTCATCTTGTTTGTCCAGATGCACTATAAGAACAACATATAGGAAGATCAGGAACTGGATGTGGCAATTTTCCCAAAGCCTCCTATAGCAATAGGGTGGTGCTTTTCAATTTAGCCATGGGTGATAGTAGGTGGCCTCCTCTGAGATTGTAGCTAGGGAGGAGAGAGGAGTGAAGCCTCTAGGTAGCCAAGGAAAGAGTTAATTGCACTTCTCCTCTGTAGTCCTAGTTCTCTGCCTGGTTAGTATTTGCTCCAGAATCAAGTTTGTATGATCATGCTTCCCATGTAGCTGCATCCCTAGTAGTATTTATTTTAAACATTCTTTTCTTGAGCAAATGGAATCATTAGCGCTTATGGTCCATTGCTGCTGCAATTAGCTATCCTTGCTCAATAGCCCTTGAGCAGAATGTATTGCTGATGGGTGCTGTAAGGGAATAGAGTTATATCTGGATTGATTTTTAAATGTCCGTTGTTCAACCCACCATAGTTCCTGGTAGAATTAGCTTTGTCAAGCTTGTGCTGAATGCCTGAAATTATTATTATCGCCATCTACATGATTCACAATTATTGTCACTGATGCCCTTTATTCTCACAGGCCTGTGGAAGAGCTGAGTGTGAACTGGAAGAGAAATGGGGTGAGAATCACCAGTGGACTCCACAGCTTTGGGAGACGCCTCACCATCAGCAACCCAACATCAGCGGACACGGGGATGTACATCTGCGAGGCGATGTTGAGTGGGAGCGCTTTTGAACCAGCTACAGCAAAGGCCTTTCTTTCCATCGTAGGTAATGCTCACAGCAATAAATGGTATTGTCAGCTTCCTTGATGGCATCCCCACACTGACACTTCTGTGGCAACAAAATAACACCTCTCTCACCGACTTTATTCTTAACTCGCAAATAGAGGTGAGATTGAGCTTATCTTCCAAATTCATCCTATTCTTCTTTTCCAAGAATATAAGTGCATTAAATCCAAAGTGTTGATGTTCTGAATGCTTCCAAGAAATGTTCTTATGAATATTTCCAATCATAAAGCTTGGGAAATTGAGTGGTAAATCCTTGTCTTATGTCTCACCTTCGCATCCTAGCCTCTGTGCCTCTGACCTTTCCTATAACTCTTGGCTATTGTCATCAGTGTTCAGTAATTATTCTATTATTGTTCTTATTTTTTGACCCAGAAAAAAGTTAAAAACTATTCGATTTTACCTTTTGTTAAACTAAAAATGAGAAGAGAGATGCTTCCTAAAAATGGGCAAAGTACTATTCCTGAACCAAGGAGAGTAAGGAGATAAAATTAAGTACATTTAAATTGCCTAGCTCTGAATACTGGAAAATACTGGTGTTTAGGAAGTGTGTGTTCTATAGGGGCTAAGAAAATCCTAAATTTATTATCAGATTATGATAAGATTACATTAAATTGTGAGGCAAGTACTTTTATTCCTTTCATTTTTCCAGTCACTGTCATACATTTATTCTTCTTAAGTGGCTGTGCTCACTATTGCAGTGACCTGTCTTCCTCAGTGGTAGCCACTGCTGACAAGACAGTGCATCAGAAGTCCATTCTAGGAAGGAGAATCTCTACTTTGTCTCTCCACTTTGGAAATAAGGGGACTTGAGAACAGGAGAGGTCAAATAAGAAGAAGACCTTCAGAGAGCAATAGCTCCTTAAATAATATATTTTGCAGTTTGCCACTTTGCAAAATCAGAAAAAAATAAAAGCTTGTATTTTCCTATAAAATTAGTAAGGGTATCAAGGAATACTGCATAAAAGGCAGTTTGCCTTGAACATGTCACATTCCTTTAAATCATTAGCAATGGCTTTGTGCCTTGAATATGACTCTGCTAAACACAATGCAAAGCAAGTCTATCAGCCCCTCTGAAAGAAGTGTAGGAGTGCTAAAAGTATCAGAGAAAGCAGGATTCGAGTCACAAATCATTGTTGATTCTACACCAGGGATCTGAGCTGGTTCTTTTACTGCCTTTCTCATCCGTAGTTTTGCTATAGATGTTAATACCATATCCCATTCTCTGCAAAGACTTTTTCATCAAGGTTGATCTATAGCTATATGAGCGCAGCACATTATAGATTGAACCAAAATTAAAATTTGTAAGTGTAAATCTCTACTAGACAGGACTATATTGTCTTAAAACATTTTAAGGTAATTTAAACAAGAGAAGAAATTTATCTTCCTATAAACTAGAATGTTTGTGTCAATCATAATTCGTTTTTAAAATATTTAAATCTATCCTACAAACTTTGGTTTTGCATTTATATCTGAATCCAAGGCAAATTGCTTTTGTGTTCTCTGGAGTTACCATCTCTCTATGCTCTGACTTTTAAAGGTATAGGAACACACTTCACTTCTTTATGATATTGATTTAAATCCCCTTTTTTTCAAAAGAATTTTCTGTGACAGGTAGGATTTTGTGGTTGGATCATACTAGAAAAGCCCTGAAGAGAGTGTCTGTGTCAATTCAGAAGATCATAACCCCATGCCCAGCCACCATGGAGGGATCCTCAGGAAACATTACCAATTTCACAGGGCTGTCACCAGTGGAGCTTTGAAAAGAGCTATTGATATGAACATGCAGATGAAAGAAAGCAGAAACAAATTGTCTCCCAATTACTTTAATTTCATACTGATGAGACAAGACAGAATAGTTTTGGCTATTTACTCCACCTGTCAACCTCCCTGCTGTACTGCTTAACTTCTGTCGTTTAAACAGGAGCAGAGAGGTCTGATTCCAGGCAACACTGTGCCTGCGGAAAGGTCTGTGTGACTGATTCCCCACTACTGCCTGATCAGCCAGCCTCCATGTAGTGCTGCTTAATAAGCTTTCTTCTTCTCTTGACCTTCCCCTCTATGCTCTCCTTGACCACCTCCCTTGCTACCACCATACCACACAATCCTACATACTCCACATGGCTGCTCTGTTCCCTGAATACACTCAGGCAGCAACCCAGCATGTTCCCTCACCCTTCCTGCCTCAGGGCGTGACTTCCGACTGCTGACACCTTCATTTCCTTCCTGGAAGTGTTCTCTGGCCACTGGAGCTAACTTCGCCCACTGTAGTAGGCTGGCAGTGCTGGGGGTTAACACCCCAGGATCAGCCCTCAGAGTCTGAGGGGAGCTGGCAGATAAATACCCACGCTCCCTCACCCCTTACGGGTGGGGATATAATTCGGAGGTTGTGTTGTGCACTGGCTTTCAGAGTTTCCCCAGTGCGGTGAAACTCCAGTTGCCCACAGTGAGAGCTACCTTGATAACATGCTCTTTTCAGCTGACCTCCCAATTCCTCTAATGGTGTTTCTGTCACCTCCCAAATAAACTAATGGCATCACTGTCACCTCCCAAATAAACTATTGGCATCAAACCTTGTCTCAGGGATTGCTTCTGGGGGAGCCAACCCAAGACTTGGGTCATGCTCTTTCAGACCCTTAAGCATCTGCTCATGCCTGTGCTTGGGATGAGTGCCCTTCTACCCCTAGGTACCACCTCACCTGGTTAGTGAAATGTGTATATCCCTCAAGACTCCTCTCACTCGTCGCCTCTGCTGTGACTCTCTTGGACTTTTCGCCAGAGAGAGGACTGATGCTCTCTCAGCTGTGGCCTCATAGCATCTGGGATACGTGGAGGGGCAGTGTTGTGTGACGTGTAATTGTGTGGGCTTTGGAGACAGAACTGGGTTCACATTCCTACTGCACCATTCAATGGCTTGAACAAGTGGGATACGTGGAGGGGCAGTGTTGTGTGACGTGTAATTGTATGGGCTTTGGAGACAGAACTGGGTTCACATTCCTACTGCACCATTCAATGGCTTGAACAAGTGTCTTTGCCTCTGTCAGCCTCAGTTTCCACATCCATAAAATAGAGACAATGTAGATAAAAAAAATGATATCAGCTCAAATTGTGACGATTAAGTGAACTAATGTGTGTCACAGAAGCATTAAAATGGCGGCTTTATTTGCTGTTGACATAACTCTCTGATGATGTATGTCTCATTGCACTAGTTATTTACCAATAATCAGTTACATGGCACACATTTTTCATATTTACTGTCTCTGAAATTGGGATGTACCTCACAATCCATGGAAGCATTTTTTTCTTTCTTGGGGATGAATAAAATGATGATGCCTCTGACCAACGACTGCAGCATCTTGGATTCAGTGAGCAGCTGTGTGTGCGTCTTCCCCTCCAGGACGACAGATTCAATGTTTTCTCCTCATCACACACAGAGCAGTGCCATCTGCAAGCGTGCCCTGTTCCTGTCCTGTGTGTATCCTGCCACACGGCTCTTTTGTGCCCGCTCAGAAACTTGGAGGGTGAGAGTAGCCATTGTACAGAGCTAGCTCTCACATTATTCTGACATTTACATACAAATCCTTCAGAAATTCCAATACCTTAACTATTACTAAAATAACAAATTACTTACAGCATCTCTTGGATGAACCACTACCACAACTGAGAAGTTCTTCTTTAGGTATACTATAAGGCCTTCTAGAGCTGAAACTTCACACCTCTTAAATGTCCACATACTAACATAAAATAAATTTCTTCCTTCCTTCCTTCCATCCATCCTCTTACTTCCTTTCCCCCACTTACTATAAAAATACGTATTTATTTTTTACATCTCAGACACTGAGCTGGGTGTTGGGGACAGTAGAGTGAAGAAGTAGCCCCAGTCTTAAATGTCCACATACTAACATAAAATAAATAAATTCCTTCCTTCCTTCCATCCATCCTCTTACTTCCTTTCCCCCACTTACTATAAAAATACGTATTTATTTTTACATCTCAGACACTGAGCTGGGTGTTGGGGACAGTAGAGTGAAGAAGTAGCCCCAGTCCCAGCCATCAAGAATTCTTGTATGGAAGACAGTCCTTTCACAAGGTAGTTATAATATAGCTCAGCGAGTGCTCAGATAGTGGGAAGCACAGGGTCACTGGGTAGGGGTGGGGGGTGGCTCACGGGAGAGGAAATCAGAAAAGCTTTGCAGAAGGTGAACACTTGAACTGAATTTTGAAGGTTGAGTCAAAATTTTCCAACAAGACAAAGTTGAGAAAGACATCCCATGCAGAGGGAATAGAATGGATACATTACTTTTGTATTGCTATTGTGAAAAATTACCACAAATTTAACAGCTTAAAATAACGCAAACTTATAAATCACAATTATATAGGTCAGAAATTGGGGTGGGCTCAGCTGGTTTTTCTGTTTCAGGTCTCGCAAGGCTACAATAAAGGTTTTGACTGGCTTGGGCTCTTATCTGGAGGCGCTGGGGGGGAATCCAGTGCCAGGCTTCTTCAGGTTGTTAGCAGAATTAGGTTCATGTGGTTGTGGGACTGGCTGCTGACCAGGGTCATTCTCTGATTCTAGAGGCTACCACATCCCTGGCTTGTGGCCACCTTCATCTCCAAAGCCAGAAGCAGCAGGCCAAATCCTTTTCACACTTGGAATCTCTCTGCCCTCCCTTCTGCCTTGTTTCTCCTGCTTCCAGCTAGAGAAAGTTCTCTGCTTTTAAGGGCTCATGTGATTAGAACTGGGCCCACCCAGCTAATCCAAGACAATTTCTCTAATCCCATCTGCAAAGTCCCTCTTGCCATATATTCATAGCATATTCATAGGTTCCAGGGATTTGGGTGTGGACATCTCTGGGTGTCATCCTGCCCACCACAGTGGACAAAGACAACCAAGTGTGGTCAGTGATGGCAAACCAAAGGCAAAGCATGGGATTTGCTGGTCCCTGAGATGGGCATTCTGGAAGGGAAGGGAAGACAGACCAGGGAGCATCTTTGGGTCTTTTAGTTATCTCCACTCAGAAGAAGCTTTGCAGCTCAGAAACCATAGCCCACCATCAGGGACAGGAACACACGATAAGTCCTTGGTGTGCATGGGCTATCTCTACCATGGCTGCCTCCTTTGGGCCAGAACCCACACTTTGTCACCCTGGCATTTTGGAGAGTAGAGGGATTTGATAGAGGCTATAGATTTGGGCCCTTCCTGGGAGGTATCCCCACTTCCATTTCTGAGATTGGAGAACTGGAGGCTTGTACTGATCCTGCAGGCAGCTGGCGCGGGCTGAGCAATGAGGTAGAAGACCAGCCTGTTCTGGCCTTTCCTCAACACTCTGAATTCACACAGGGCATGAGAACCTTTTCCTGATGTCTTCATATTGTTTCAAGAGAGATAGAAGTATTTGTTTCAATCCCTAGTTTTGCTGGCTGCAGTTGGGATCAATTTTAAAAATCCAACCTGAGCCTGTGCTGGCAGTGGACCCTTTCTAGACAGAGTTGTCGCTGATTAGCTAAGACATGTACTCACCCCCTTACCCTTTGGAGATTAAGTGGTTGATAAAGTCTACGCACAAGATGACTTATTCCCCACTGTTCAATTTACAGTCTTTTCGTGGTTGATATGCCTGGTATTTTCCCTCACTTTTTTTTCCTTATAGCAGCCCATGTGTTAAAAAAGTATCTGGGTGTGAGGAGAAAAATCTTCCGAGCACCTGCTGAGTTAGGATAATACAAAACGTCAGCAGTGAGGGAAACTGTAACCTGTAAAGAGGTGAGGGAAATTATATCATGAAGATCAGAAGTCGCATGGCCCTGTAGACCCTTCAGGGCCATTGGCAGCTCCAGCCCTACTCTGCTGACTCAGCCACCTGGAAAACTTTCTGGCGCAAGGTAAGAGCATCAACAATGAACAAACATGTTCTGCCCCTGCCACTCCTGGCCTTCCTAGTTTTGAACTAGTGAAACCGCCCTGGGTATTAGTTCCTGCAAGCACTGGCAAGCTGCCCTTCCAGAGGCATGCCCTTCCAGTTATCATGTGTGCGAAGCCCACATGATAACTGGCTGGTGTGGGGAGATGATAATGCTAGGCCAGGCCTGAAGGTCCCTAATGCACGTCTCAGCCCCAGAACCATGTGCTTGCTCAGCCCGCTCCAGCTTTGTGTCACTGTGTGGAGTACCCTGTCTGTGACCCCAGCTAGGTCCCTCGCTGGCACTTGGAGGAAGCTGTGGGGCATTGTGCCAGCCAGCATTTGTAATCATACCTCGGGGAGAGCAGTCTGGTCCTATAGGTGCTTACTATTTACATATATAGATTTTATATTATCAAAGTGTAACTCAGATGAATCTCGAGGGAATTATGCTGAGTGAAAAAAGCCAATTCCAAAGGTTACATATTGTATGATCCCATTTATATAACATTCTTGAAATGACAGGCTTATGAAAATAGAGAACAGATTAGTGATTTCCAGGAGTTAGGGATTGGGGCTCAGGGTGGGCATGGTTATAGGAGGGCAACATCCTTGTGATGATGGGCCCATTCTGTATCTTAATGTGGTGGTGGACACATGAGCCTGTTATGTGACAACATTGCACAGAACTAAACTCTCTCTCTCTCTCTCTCTCTTTCACACACACACACACACACACACACACACACACACACCGGAGCACAAACAAAACTGGGGAGATCTGAATAAAATAGATTGATTGTATCAATATCAACATCCTGGTTGCCATACTGTACTATAGTTTGATTTTTCTGTATTATTTTTTACAACTGCATGGGACCCTACAGTTATCTAAAAATAAAATGTTTAACTATAAAAAGGGAAACTATAATCAATCATAAGCAAATGTTGATATTTGTCATGATTTTTTCCTTTTTCCCTCACATCCCTTTAATCAGATCATGATGGTAGATATTGACTTTAGCATTCACTGATGAATGTGGGGCATGACCTGCACACAAAGGCCTTGACAGGATGCAGCTCCTGTGTAGTTAGAACATAAATAATGTTGCTATCATTATTATTGAGTAAGGAAATGTGACTGAAGGGGGGATATTATGAGTGTGCAATGAAGACCAGCTTGAAAATGTAGACATAAATCTTTGCAGTATTTCTATAGACCCGGTCTATACACACAAAAACCTAAGCAGAGGATTCTGCTTCCATCTAGTGAATTTGCAGCCACCTCCTCAGCTGGAGTGGATAATTCAGGCAGATTGTTTCTGCTTGAGTGGTCCAGGTAATTGCAGAATTGATACCTAACTTTGCCTCCGTTTAGAAACCTTTAGCCTTTTCTCCTTAATCATTTCTTTGAAATGCTAAGTTTTCATTTCTTTTTCCTCTTTTAGGTTCCACCCTGTTTTAAAGATACAGTCAATATAGGAGTCATGCCAAGCTATATTATCCACATTCAACACAATTACAAAGAAAATAAATCACTCTGGAAGACAGTTCCCAGAAATTAATTATCACTTAGAAAGTGAATACAACAGCCTTTTGTTATCATGATAATGAAATCACTACCACCTTAATACTTGAGGAACTTGGCCATGCCTCTATTGAATTTCTGCTGAATAATCTGAGAAAAATTTTGCAATTTACTCTCCAAGGAAACTCACTGTTTAATACAACCACTATTTTTTTGTTGTTGAACAAGCAAGTGGAGTATCTAATGAAATACAAGTGGTTAAGGGTTTCCTTTGCTACTAAAAATGGATGAAAGCCCCCTGCCTTTTTTTCCTTGGCTATTATTTTGCATTCCACTGAAGTATTAAATCTATATTTTGGAGAAGAAGAACTGCTAAGATTTTTTTTAAATCTGTTAATAGGTTGGCTGTTCTCTGATACAGGCCTGGTGCCTTGCCGGCACTTTATTTGACATGCTTCATGAGTTGCTGTTTAGTTTAGATACTGAAGCAAACTAGCCTGTAAAATACTGTGCTGTAAATATAATCCTTTATGAACCTCTTGGGATAGTCCTTCTAAAATGTGGATTAAGATATTCCATGATTCAAGCCCATAAAGTGAAAAGTAGCCATCGCCCTGAGTAGTAATTTGCTTTCTGAAACCTTAGAATATAAATTGCCTTTGGCCTCTGCTCACTGAATTCTGAGTTTGTGTGTATGATGGCAACTAATGATGAAGTTTTAAAAAATAGTTTTTAAAAGGAGCTCAAACTATTTTAGGCTATCATGGTCTTTGATATGTCCTTCTTTTGCTTAGGGGCCATTTTTTTTCTTGTTTAAAGAGCCACCATATTTTACTGCTGAACCCGAGAGTCGGATTTTAGTAGAAGTGGAAGAAACCGTGGACATCATGTGTCAAGCCATGGGTGAGTCTGGAGAGGCTCTTGAAGAAGGAGCCATGATTTGGCGGAATGAAAATTATGTTTTTTCAGGGCAGAATGTTTATTGTTTTAGGGAGACATTGAGTGTGCTGGTTAAGAACAGACTTTGGGGTGGAGTAGAACTCAGTGACTGGTGTGTGACCTTGGAGAAGGTGTTTGACCTTGCTGAGGTTTTGCTTCCTTATCTGTAAAACAGGTAAGTATTACTAAAGGGGTGGTAATATTTACCCAAGGGAACAAAAAGGAGGGCTTAACCACATCCATACCAAGCAGACAGAGGACGTAGTCATGTTCTGTTGACTCCCCTTCAAATGCCCTGATTCCACAAGAACATGACCCCCCTAGACTTAGGAAAGAAAATTCATACTTATCCATGGGTGATTGGGACTGGTGACCAAATCTGTTCTGTAGGAAGAGAGATTATTTTGTATTTTTTGAATAGGAAATTTTCCTATTTTTCTGCCTTTTCAGCTTTGGGTCTATCAACTGGGAAAGAAAATTCATACTTATCCATGGGTGATTGGGACTGGTGACCAAATCTGTTCTGTAGGAAGAGAGATTATTATGTATTTTTTGAATAGGAAATTTTCCTATTTTTCTGCCTTTTCAGCTTTGGGTCTATCAACTCTTCCTTTGTTATTAAGGTAATCCCAACTCTCTTCCCCATGTCTTTATTGCTAGCTGCCCAAGGTCACCATTTCCTATCAGGCAGCACAGGTAGTTATATAAAACCCCCTAACAGAGACAGGCTTTCCAAGGCAATTTCATTAGTAAAACCTGTGTTTTTATTCTGGCAACTGTCAATAAATGAAAAACAATCCTTTCTTTTTTTGTTTATACCTGTCCATCTTAAGGATGGGTATTTTCTTCTACCCCCTATGAGATTGGAGGACAAGGATTAACACCAGTTTTATAAATCTTCAAAACAGCTCCATAAGAGAGATATTATTATCTCACTGTACACATATGAAAACCAAGCCTTAGAAAGCAAGCTTATATAACCTGCTCAAAGCACAGAGACGTGAAGACCAAATGAGATACTTCTGTAAAATCATTGCCCAGTGTCTGGCTTGTAGGAATTGCTCAGTAAGTACTGCGTGAGTAACTTACCGAGGGTCATATGGTAATGGAGACAAGATCCAAACCCCAAAACATCAGCTACCATAGCACATGCTCTTGTTGGGACACCTGGCTTCTCCCAGAGCTGAGGCCCTGGGACTTAGAACCAATACCATTTATCTGTAGGTACAACCTTGTGGATGTCATTTTTCTTTTCTGAAAATAAATGATGTGTCATTCTGAATAGTGTTGATGGCAAAGGCAGTGATCAGCCTCTGGCCAGAAGTCCCTTCCTCCCTATCTACTGAGGTCTGTGTAGCAACCACTCCTGCCTACAGAACTTGTTTCACAAAAGTTCTTGTACTCAGCTCCTGGTCAACTCACAATGGCCGCTATCTACACATCTGTTCTGTGTCTGTTCTTCTCTGCTCTAGCTCTACTAAGATGGCCTCAAGGGAGGGGGAGAAAAGGATGAGAGAAGAATAATATGAATTTTAAATGAAAATGTTTTCCTTACTGTGGTTGCATTGTTCTCCTTCTTGTATAAATGCCAGCTTCTTTAGGCCAACAACTCTGTGAATGTGAAGCTATAAAATATTTAAAGTGCTAATATTTTAGAAATAGGAGTACACAATACTGCAGGGGATAAGATTTCTGTTTACGACATTAAATTGCTTCAAAATAGATATACTACCAGTTCCCTATGCTAACAATTACTTTTCAATAAATGACAATCTTAAACTCTCCCTTTGACAAGAGAATGCTTTTTTTTTTTTTTTTTTGCATGATTTCTACAGGGTAAACTGCTTATTAAGTATAGACTTACATATTAAGCAGTTCTTTCAACATTGCACTGCCATCACATAATTTACTGCTTTCTTTTAATTTTGACAATGAAACTAAAGTAGCATGTGAAGTGGTCATTCTTTATGAAAGCTACATCATTTAATTGCTATTATGAGATTTTACATGAATTGGTTATGCTTTTATCTTGAAGTGGATTTTTAAAAATTTCCTGATTTAATGAAAAGTGACTGGAAACATAATTAAGGTAAAGAACAGAATCTGAGGATATATTATCTTGAAATATTCCAAGACATTAACTGTATACATTAAGGTAGATGTCTTGTACCTACCTACATAGCATCTTGAATGAAGGGATTTTGATGTGCTTTCCACTGAGTCTGTTTTTTATTTAACTCCATTTTATATTTAGGGAAATCGAGATTCAGAACCATCTGAGATTTAGAACTAAGTCTAGATATTTCCTCATTTTTCCATGGGCCCACAACAGATGACAGGTGTACATATGCCTACCATATTTCTGGACTTTGTTATCTTGTGTGCTTTGGTCTGGTTTATATAGAGCCTCTGCTCTACCCAATTTACCCTTCTTGGGTGGGCTCGACTCTCCTTGACATCGGGAAGGGTCAAGGAGAAGTCTCCAAGGAAGCAGTCTTCCACTATTGCTAGTCACACTAGCCACCCGGAGAAGTTGTCAAGAGAAGGAGCCTAGTGCTTCCTTGGTCAGGGCTTGTCACAGGCCACCAGGGAGAACAGTGTGGCAGCATTCATTCGTCAATGCCTGGTTTATATGTACTGATCGCAGCCGCGTAGGGGATAAGCAACAGAGGTCCTCATGCTCTCACGCTGAGGACAGTCCCTTTCATTTACAACCCTGGTTCTGCCCCCTGACAGCTTGTCTTTTGTCCACCACGTATACCCCTCCCACACCCAACCCTCAACCTCTTTAAGGGTGGAGCTGGCTAGACCATGTGTAGCTCTACCCTCATTGACTTGGGCCTTGTTTCTTGATGTAATGCTGTTGAGATGAGGAAAGAGCCACTAGGAGTGGCACTGTGCATTTAGCCTCTGTCTGACCCTCCTGTCCTCTGGGTCTAACTCTTCGCACGTTCTTGGCTCACTCCACTCTGGGGTACAAGAATGGAGTCACCCTGCAGCCCCTCCTCCTCATCTTTCTGTACTTGCATCTGTCTCATGGACCAAGTCAACTTTTCCTATGTCCACAGTGTCATTCCTCTTATGTCTCCTCAACCTCTAGCCAAATGCATCTATTATACTTGTTACTTAATACAATAAATCACTTCTCTGACACAGTAGAATTCCATTAAGGCCCGTGATATCCAGCTCCTTCGACAGAGGGTATTTAAAAACGACACTCATTTTTATTGTTGTTAGTTGTAATAATGAATAGTGATACTATCCATTCAAAGCATAAGAGTTGTATATGTATGTATGCGTGTGTGTGTGTGTGTGTGTGTGTGTGTGTGTGTGTATATATAGAAGCATGTCTAATCCTCGCAGCCTTTTTAGATCATGAGGATTACTCCCTTACCCATATATGAGGGAGCAGAGAGATAGGTAAAGTACTCTGCCCAAGACCTGCACCCTGCCTCCTGCCTTCATGACCCTGTACCCGAGCTTTCCTGTGCAGGGACAGAATTGGGCACTACAGACCAGCAGAGAGACCTTTATCTCCATCTGAATACTGAAGTCACTCATAGTTGGAATCTTTCTTTCCACCAAGAGCACAAACTTGTGTAGGTTCAGAGAAGAGCTTGGGAAGATCTGCAGCCCAAATGTCCAGAGTTCACTTCTGTTCTTCCTCTTAATGCTTCTTTGTGTTGATTCCTTCATATATGATGAGAAAAATAACTCCTTACAAGGTGGTTTAGAGAACTAACAGATGAGAAAATGCCCTTACAATACCACCATTTTAGCCTTTGAAACAGTTTTGCCTCAATCCTCATGAAAGGAATTCTCCTACACAGGGGTCCCTCTTCCCACCCTCCAGTGGTACAAGGATGCTGTTTCCATCAGCAAGCTCCAGAATCCTCGGTACAAAGTGCTCTCAAGTGGAGGCCTGCGCATCCAAAAGCTGCGTCCAGAGGACTCCGGGATCTTCCAGTGCTTTGCCAGTAATGAAGGAGGAGAGATCCAGACCCACACCTACCTGGATGTAACCAGTGAGTACTGCCTATCAACAAAGCCAGACCTTCTGGACTGGGCTTTTAGGCCAGAGCTTCTGAACATCTCCCTATATGACACACACCGAAAAAGGTAGTGTCTGTTCAGCCCCCTGAGGTAAATGGACAGGGTGATGTGGCCAGAGGTGACCAGCTGAGGAGGATCACACCTCAGCCACACCCAGACCCATTTATGGGTCCCATGGGGAAGCTCTGCGGAAGCCCATGAACAGTGAAGACACCCTGGTAGTGTCTGTTCAGCCCCCTGAGGTAAATGGACAGGGTGATGTGGCCAGAGGTGACCAGCTGAGGAGGATCACACCTCAGCCACACTCAGACCCATTTATGGGTCCCATGGGGAAGCTCTGCGGAAGCCCATGAACAGTGAAGACACCCAGTTGTCTCCCCAATCCCTGGTGCCCTCCCTGTTCTTATGTAAGCCTTGGTTTTTTTTCACCACTGAGCCCCCCCTTTTTCTTGAGAAATAGAAAAAATTCCCCATTTTTCTGACAGAATTGGAAGAACTATTGAGTGAATAGCTTACTCCTAATCTTTCTCTTTTGATCTTTTTTCCATTTTTTATATTCATTCTCATTTTTTCACCACTGAGCCCCCCCTTTTTCTTGAGAAATAGAAAAAATTCCCCATTTTTCTGACAGAATTGGAAGAACTGTTGTGTGAATAGCTTACTCCTAATCTTTCTCTTTTGATCTTTTTTCCATTTTTTATATTCATTCTCTATTTTAGTTTTATTGAACAATTATAGTTCTTTTGTGAGTTTCTTTTATTATCCCATTAATAGAAATACCATGGCACTCCGTCTTTGAAAAATAAAATAAAGGTAAAGGTTTTCATTGTATCTGTGGATTTTCTTTTTAATCTCCCATAGTTGTAATATTATTCTAAAATGAAGTGCAATTTAGTGATTATGGAATTATACCTTTCATGTTTGCCCTTTTGGAAGCAAAATGCCGATATCCTCAGGTGTGGGAGATATTTGAGAACGCAAATCCATGTCAGTGTGCGCATGGCTGATTCCTCTCATCAGCCAGAGCTTGTGAAGAGACTGACAAAGTATTTAAAGATCCATATATATATTCTGGTAAACTAGGGGTTATTTTCTTGAACCTTGCCCAGGGGTCAAATTTGTCCTACAGTTCGAAGTGTAGGAAACCAATATTGCTTCAAGCAGTAGAAGCAATGCCAGGTACTTAAGCAAGAAACTGCGTTTTGATCTATTAGAAGTATTTAATGCCTATCCTGCAGTTGTGGGCCAGGATGTTCTGGAGCAGGGATTGGCAAGCTTTTTCTATAAAGGGATTGATAGTGAATATTTTAGGCTTTGAGGGACATGGTCTCTGTCACAACTACTCAATTTTGCTGTAGTAGCATGAAAGCAACCACAGATGATTCATAAGTGAATGGGAGTGGCTGTCTTCTAATAAAACTTTATTTACAAAAATAGGTGACAGGCTGGATTTGGCCCACAGGTTGTAGTTTGCCAACTTCCACTCTGGTGCTCTAGTGAGAGAGCTAGGAATTAGAAGAGAAAGTGAGCTAGTGTACATCACTGAATTACTCTCAACCTCAGCTTTCCCATCTGTTAAAATGAGAGTAAAACCCAGCCCACTTTACAGGGTTCTTATGAGAATGAGATTGGAAATTTAAATGAAAGTGCTACTTAAACTGGTTACCATGGCAATTGATCACACCATGATAAATGATAATGATAATACTAAGTTATCTGTTCACTAAGTACAGGGTTTTGCAAAATGAATTTATTTCAAATAGAAATACCTTTAAAGAAAGGAAAATGTGTGTTAAAAAATCAATGTTTATTCATTGATTTAGCAAATGGTTATTGAGCGTCTGTGTTAGACATTCTGGGTTAGGCTTTGGGAACACGGCTATGAGGAAGACAGGCAAGGTTCCCCAGCTTCCAGGACAGAGAGTCATGAGGGAGGAGAAATATAGTAAAGGACAAGACAACTTCAGCTAGCAATGAGTGCTGTAGAGAAATAGACCAGATGAGGCGACAGGGTGACCAGGGGAGTCTCCGTTAGACATGTGGTCAGGGAGGGTCTCTCTGAGGTGACATTTATGCTGAACCTGAAGGCAAAAAGGAGCTGGTCTTGTGAAATCTTGGGGACATAAATGTCATGGGGTGGGGGCAGACTGCAAATACCTTGCTCACACATGTCCAAGTGAAGGGAGGCAGGTAGGATGGAGCCTGATGATGAGCAAGGCAGCTGTGGTAGGAAAGAGGTTAAGGCGACTAGCATGGGCTGGAGGGCCGAGGCTCAGCAGGAGGAGGCCTTAGGGAGCTTTGAGCTGGGGAAGGGCTTGAAGTAAATGACTTCAAAAGAGACAGCTTCCAAAGAGCACCCAAAGGCTGGTGCGGCATCCACTGTGAGGCCAGAGCAGATGCACTGAGACCAGTTAGGAGGCCCCTGCATCACTAGGCCCAGCCCAGGACTCAGATAGCTGCATGAGAGGTGGAGAGAAATGACCATCCAGCTTCAGGATGTGCTTTGGAGTCACTAAGACGTACCTGTGGTTTGTAGGGATTCCCTCAGGTGAAGGAAGGAAGAAGCAGGCAGCTGTGCCTCAGTCTCCTTGAGTCCTGCCTCTTCTTCTTCTGGAGGGCATCAGCCCCAGGGGCTCTCACATGAGATCTGGGAGATGCAGATCACTGTTGTACAGGGATTGATGGTTTAATTGTTACCAGAGTAGCACAAAGTTAGGTGAGCCCTAGCTGAAACCAGCCCAGACTACATAAACAAGAAGAAACCCCAACATTTGGGGCCCAGGACACCTCCCAGAAATTGACCTTTATTGAAGTTCCTGAAACCTGTTTATTTTAACTTTGAGAGCAGATCCTAGAAAGTCATCTTGGGGATGACATTTTATATTCAAAAATTAGCTTTTTCTTTTATTTAAAGAACAAAAGCAGTTTGGCTTATCTAAATAAATGTCTCTTCTCTCTTTAACATTCATGTAAAACTGCTTTTCCTGGGCCCCTGTACTTTCCCACTTGTTCTTTCATTACATCATGAAACTGTATTTTCTGTCTAGGCTGTAAACAAAGGTAGGTAATACCTAGGAGACGAATAATAGAGGGTTATAGTCACTCCTGAAAGGTTTTCATTTTTTATTGCTACAGTTATCTTTGTGATTATTTCTATAAAGTCCATATGGACTACTCCACCAGACTGGTTTGAGCATCTCTAAGGGACAATGCACTGATCATTTCGTTGTTTAACTCCTCTACTCAGATATAGCTCCAGCATTCACCCAGCGTCCAGTGGACACCACAGTTACTGATGGGATGACAGCCATTCTAAGGTGTGAGGTGTCTGGGGCTCCCAAACCTGCCATCACATGGAAGAGAGGTAAGTAGTATCCACTATCCATGCAACAGTATCCATGCAACAGCATGGCCAATGTGGAAAATGAACCTATTGGGCCAGTGATTGTATTTTCTTATTTTCACTTTTGTTCATTCATTCATTCATTCATTCACTCAATAACGATTAAGTAACAGTTTATGGAATGCCTACCAGGTGCTAGATGCCAGAGGTACAAGGATGAATAGGACAGAAAAGACCCCTGCCTTCTAGAAAAGGAAACAGACATTAACAAAGTAATACTAATTGTGCAAATATCACTCTTCTCTACCTAAGCCCTTCATAGAGTGCCTTCGGCCTGCTGGGACTCCTTAAAATATTAAATATTAGATTTGAAGTAATTCTGCTAGCATTCAGTTTTCTCATTTGTGAAATGAAGGAGTTCTTTCTTATAATATTCAAAATTAAGAATCGTGTCCTTTTTTTTCTTTTCTTTTTTTTAAGAAAGACATGTGAAAGACATTAGTTCCAGCTGTGTTTTCAGTTCCTGTGAAGGGTTGTGTCAGTCACAGGCTGTCTTTGTAGTTCCCACAGCCCCTTCTAAAAGTTAGGCATATGTGCCCATAAATTAGGAGTGCACAGAGTCCATCCTTAACAAATCTGTGCTGAATTGTGTTGACTCACATATTTTAACTAATTATGCATGATGGACTATATTTGGGTGAAACTTCAAAAGTTTTATCTTTTCATGCTATGAGAAACTATGTGGTGGCTTCTCAAAGGTATAATTCACACACTCAAACATAGCTTATAAACAAATATATGGGAAACTACAGATCAATAAGAGGGGTGGGTTCTTTTATTTCATATATTTTCTTTTTTTTCTTTCTTTCTTGATTTTAAACATAATAGCTTTATATGGAAAAATGTCACTTGCATATAAATACAAAGAAAAATAAAAAGCAATCACCCAAAAAATAACAATCATGTACATGGATCATTATTTGTTTAAGCATGTCTGGCTATGACAAAGACTACTGCTAAGGCCTGGAATCCTCACAGCACCAATTGTCTAGCTCTTAATCCTGTTCGTGACACCAATTGTAAAGCTAGGCAACTACGCTAGGTATCACGGCTCTTTTACCTGCCAGTAATCCTGCACTGACTGGGCCAATGGTTGAGCTAGGGCTGGGTCTGGAGCTCCCAGACCCCTCAAGCCCATTCACAGACTGGGTCACAAACCCTTCACATGCCAGGCTGGGTCACCAGACCCCTTCATGCAGGTCTATGAGCTAGGTAACCAGCCACACAGTCCTTGGAAGCTGCAGGTCTGGAAGAAACATGGCCACATGGGGCAGGTGCCTGAAGCAGTAAAACATCAGCCAAAGTGGTTCCGCCATGCAGGCGAACTTACTCCACCCACACACACAATGTTACCAAACAACCCTGAACCACTCCAAGGCGAGGGGAGCCTGACCAAATTATCCTATTTTCCAAAAAAGCATATCTTTCAATATTGGACAATTAGGATGTTCTTGGTTTTCATTATTCTAAATAATGCTAAAGGAAACTGCTTCAGTTATTTTTATGCATAAAATTTTCACTTTATTCTGATTATTTCCTTAATTATTTTCTTGGTTGTGGCTCTAACCATTACCTTCTTTTCTTTGAAGTGTTATGGCTCTTATATTCCTGTTTTCTCTACTGTCTTCAGGAAGCCACATTTTGGCTAGTGGCTCTGTCCGGATTTCTAGGTTCATGCTTCTTGAATCAGGGGGTCTGCAGATAACTCCTGTCTTCATCCAGGATGCTGGCAACTACACCTGCTATGCAGCCAACACAGAGGGATCGCTGAACGCCTCTGCAACACTAACCGTATGGAGTAAGAACCAGTCTGTGTGAACCATCTATTAATCATGTTTTAATCACCATGTCATCTGTGCTTAGGGAATGTCAATATGCCCTTGGACTCTCTAATTTAATCAAAGGAGAATAACTATTTTTACAACTAATTTATAGAAATCTGTTGAGTAATTAATTTTTCAGTTTCTAAAAGAATAATTAGAAAATGTAGTCAAAGGGGCCGGCCCGGTGGCGCACTGCTACAGTGCGCCGCTTGGGAAGTGCGGCAGGCGCTCCCACCGAGGGTTCGGATCCCACATACAGACCGGTTTCCCGCTCACTGGCTGAGCGAGGCGTGGGAGCAACACCGAGGATTGCGATCCCGTTGCCGGTCCCGGTCCGGTACGGGCGCGACACTGAGGGTTGCGATCCGTTGCCGGTCACGAAAAAAGACAAAAAAAGGAAAAAAAAAAAAAAAGAAAATGTAGTCAAAGATTTAATGGGGATGTTTTAGGAGAGATAAAAGATTGACTTAAAGTCAGTAGAGTAGAAATATTATATACCAAACTAGCTTGAATGACAAAATTGATATGTTGGTTGATTTTATAAGTGTTTTATAAGAAAAACAAATCAAGAATTAAAATCCTAAAGAAAGTATATTTTTTTCTATACTAACACTGTGATCAACTAAAACACTTCTAGTATATTAAGTATCGATGTTTCTTGTAGATTAGGAGTGAACTGAAAGAAAAATCTTCATTATTTCTCCAGTTTTGCCATTCTTATTTTATTGATAGTAAAGATTTCTGAAATGCAGAATAAATTGCTTTCTAGAACATAAAGATTGGAGTACCAAGTATCCACCTCCCCACCCCTTTCTGTAGATTCTATTGCCAATGTACTTTTTCCTTTCTGCTTCATCGAAATATGTGTTACTAAAAGCTCATTGTTGGAAAAAGCAAAAGACAGTGTTCACTAACAGATTTTCATAAAGCCACCTGTATGAGGAGAGAAAGTTTTAACTTGCTTGAGTGAATAATTTGTTAAAATGCCATCTGTGCTTAAAGAAAAACTAAATCATTGTACTTTATTTCATATTTGTTTAGCATTTTCAATCATATAGTTTGTATCTGCTTTGGTAAATGACCCTTTCTAATTTATTAGGTGTTCTAAAAATATCACAAGTTCAAAAGAAATTAATCCAAAATCCTATAATATTGTCACATACTGAAAAAGAGGTTTTGTTACATTTAGTGGTTGACTCTGCCAACCACCTCTGATTCATCATGTATCCCTAAAAATTAACCATACATTTAAAAGCTTGTGAAAAAGTATTGTGTGAATCTCTGTGGATCCCTCACCAGAAAATTTTGTACATCTGTTAAGATTCAAATTATAACAACACTAGAACGACTGGTATAACACTTTGGTGGCCCACAGAGCGTTTTCTCATACTTTGCCTACTTTAATCAGCACAATTGTTAGTGATGTTAGCATTCCCTTTCATAGACAAAAAACCGAGTTGTTTTTCCTGATGCACTATTAGCAAGCAGTCACGATGGGCCTCGAACTTAGTCTTGTGACTCCCAAGTTCTGGGCTCTGTCTGTGGCACCAGAGCAGCGTCCCCCTCAGAGGTGTGTGTGGTGCGGGGACACACATAGCATGGGCTGTCTGCAGGGCAGCTGTGGAGCGTGGGGGGCCACAGGTCTGGGCGGAACTGTCAGGCCTGTGCTTAGCACAAGACCCCACCCCATACTAGCTCTGTGGTGTTGGGCTGCATGGGCTGTCTGCAGGGCAGCTGTGGAGCGTGGGGGGCCACAGGTCTGGGTGGAACTGTCAGGCCTGTGCTTAGCACAAGACCCCACCCCATACTAGCTCTGTGGTGTTGGGCAAGTCACTGTATTTCTGAGAATCTATTTTCATTCCTGAAAACTGGGAGTAGTAATATTACAGCCCTCACAAGATTGTTGTGAGAATTAAATAAAACAACATAAATGAAAGCACTTTGCAAAGTCACCCAGTGCTATATGAACATTAGAAATTACTAGAATGATGATTATCTTGGGAAAGAATCTAGATTTTAAACAAGAGTGTAGAAGCTAATATGCATTTACATATGATGTTCCATTCTCGTTTTCTTCCAGTGTTTGAGGTTAAATACTTAGAAGGAGCAGGGTGGACTGGCTGACTTTGCTGCAGTGTGGAAAGGCTTGTTTTCAATTCCCTGAATATTTCTGAGCATTTGCACTTACACTCGTTTTGTCAAGATAAAACTTGGAGGTTTTGACGTCAGATGACCAATTCATTACCCCCTGAGGGTGGAAACTCTCAAACTTGTAATTTCATCTGAGTTGTGACTTGTGTTTTTCCAGATCGAACCACCATCGTTCACCCTCCCGAGGACCGCGTGGTGATTAAGGGGACCATGGCCACACTGCGCTGTGGAGCCACTCATGACCCCCGGATTTCTCTCCGGTCAGCTCAGTCAATTTCAATGCTTTGGGGCTTATTAATATTCTGCAAACTTATGAGTGAAGTTGAGATGAGAAGGAAGAATTTTGGGAACTTCGATTTCAGCTGCAGATCCCTGATTATGGCATCTTACTGTCATGAGCTCCATCATTAATCACACAAATCCCATTTTCCACTCCAGCCTTATGTATTATTTACAGTGAGCTATGTTCCACTTCATGACTTCAATACAGCTTTTCATGATTTTTCTGCCAAGGTTAATACACTATCTGTAAAACGTACTTGTCAGAGGCTGATAGTTAATGAGAGAAAAATCCAGAGGGATCGAATAGGATTTCAGCAGTGTTTACACGGGGGCTGTGCAATACTCAGGAGGGGTTTTCTCTATGCCAAGGATAGTTTCATTGTGAAATGGGGAGTGAGGGAGACTTGCATGCACATAGAAGAAAGACATCCAAAGATGTCTAACCTACTTAGAGGAAAACATGTGTAAAGAAAGGAACTGATAACTTGAAGAATTGCTGAAGGAATTGTAATATCCTGTCTTTGCTTGAATTTAGACTGGGAAGGTAACAATGAAAAACATGACACTCTTGGTAAATGCATAGCAGCAGACAAGTGGCTATCAGTAGTGAGCTTTTTCCTGAAGAGCAGCCACTTTCAGAATAGTTTTTAATTTTCAGAACAGCCTTGAAAATAAGGGCCGACCCCGTGGCGCACTCGGGAGAGTGCAGCGCTGGGAGCGCAGCAGCGCTCCCGCCGCGGGTTCGGATCCTGTATAGGGATGGCCCCAGTGCGCTCACTGGCTGAGCGTGGTGCGGCCCTTCACAAAAAAAAAAAAAAGAAAAAGAAAAAGAAAAGAAATCAAGAAGGAAAGATCCAATCATCATAGTATTTTCACTCTGGCCTTAGCCCAAAGGACATGCGGTTAGCCAAATGAGTGAAATTAAGATGACTTTCTACTTCCTGGAACATTTCACTTTAGAGGGGATGGCTGTTGGACACAAGCATTATTAACTGGATTCAGTGACTAAGCTGTTCTCTCACTCCCCTTGAGGGTGTTTGGCAAAACATGAGTTTCCATATCTCCACCTGGCTCTGTGGAGTTCCCCAGGGCTCAAAAACCAAATTTGGTTGAGTTACAAGAATGCTGGGCCGGCCCGGTGGCGCACTGGATAGTGCACTGCTTGGGAAGTGCGGCGGCGCTCCCGCCCAAGGGTTCGGATCCCACATACAGACTGGTTCCCGCTCGCTGGCTGAGCGAGGCGTGGGAGCAACGCTGAGGGTTGCGATCCCGTTGCCGGTCCCCAGTCCGGTACGGGGGCAACACTGAGGGTTGCGATCCGTTGCCAGACACGGAAAAAGACAAAAAAAAAAAAAAAAAAAAAAAAAAAGAATGCTGAATGCAAAACAAAACGAACAAACAAAAACTAGCAAGTTAAAGATTACCTAGAGAATCCTTGGAGAGCTGTCTTAAGACACAGTTATCATGCCTGGAAAAGAATTCGTTCATTTCTAAGTGATTTGGAGTATGATTTCAAGAATGAAGAACAAATAAGTCTGGTATTCTGCTACTCTGACAGCTTAGAAAGAATCCCCTTGGATCTTTGTGGTTTTCTTGTAGCTTTCTATATATGATTAAATTGGAGCCCTCATCCTGAGAAGGAACTGGATTGTGCACTCTTGGGGCACCCCTTGTCCCAGGGTTTCTCTGCCCTGAGGAGCACCAGGCCCTAAGTGATAATCATAGCTGAATGCTGCTCCCCAGAGTGAGCAATCTATTCATTTCCTTCTTGTGGAATCAATCCTGTTCTGTCTCAGGGTAATTTCAGATAAGTAGTTTGTAAATGTCTGTGCTCTATGAATATGAAGGCTTTAAAGAACTGGGTACATTTTGAAAATCTGATCAAATTATTTTGGAAAATAAAAACAGCACTTTCATCTCATCTGGTAGTGAACAGTGGCCCTGTCCAAGGACGTCTAAAGACTGGATAGGCTCTTAATTGATTCTGTATTTGAAAAGAAAAATGTGCTAAAATTGCCATAGATAAACGTTAAATGAGAAAGAAATGCAGTTTTAAGGACAATTTGCCAGAATGGTTGGATTTAAGCAAATGTTTATGGGGTAAGGTATATGTTTTTTCAGGAGTTGCATAATTTCACTCTGGATATTTTTAAACAATCATTGCCTTCTATCCAGACAACACTCTGGTCCTCCAGGAACATTGCTGGGACAGGAATGTTAGATGCAGTTTTAGTAAGTGACAGGTATGCAAATGATTCTACAGACTTTCCATCTCTAAAATACAGACAAGATCAGACACATGTTGCCAGTCATCTTCATTGTCCTGTTTTTAATTTCAGCATCTACTTTTGTATTACAACCAAGATACCTGATTGCTTTTCTTTCTCTCTCTCTCTCTCTCTCTCTCTTCTTTCTTTCTTTCTGTCTTTCTCTTTTTCTCTCTTTCTTTCGTATATGTTAATTCATATACCATAACATCACCCTTTTAAAGGACACAATTCAGTGGTTTTTAGTGTATTCACAAGGATGTCACTTGCTTGCTTTTTAAGAGATAGGGAAAGACCAGTAATCCTGTTCCTGTGGGTTTTGTAACACAAGACTCTCTGCTTGGCTCACAGCTTTGTTTGGAAGAAGGACAACACGATCATCACCCCATCTAGCAGTTCTAGAATTGTGGTGGAGAAGGATGGGTCCCTCCTCATCAGCCAGACGTGGTCAGGTGACATTGGCGACTACACTTGTGAAATTATATCTGAAGGAGGGAATGATTCCAGAATGGCCCGGTTGGAAGTGATGTGAGTTCTGCAATGATTGGTATTAACCAGCTCCTAATGATGTGCATGACTGCACTCAGCTGGCACTCTTCCAAGTGACTGTCACTTAACATGTATAATGCTCACATTGTGCCCCAAGTCAGCAGTCCGAGGCTAGCATGTTATGCTACATAGCCATGTACATTGACAAGGTTTTTTGGTTTTTGTTTTTCTTGTAATTTCAAATCTAGAATGCTTCATCCATGGTATAAATGGTTTGATTATTGTTTTTCTTTCCTCCATTGATCCCTTTTGTCATATATCCCCCATTGACACCATATCATGATACGCTCTGTTTACTGTATTGCATTTAAGTAACAATAAGTTCATTTTTCCATTTAGTGGCATCAGAGCTTCTGATTGGTGAGAAGCTTCAGGGTCAGCTCACTGAGGCGAAAGTATTCCCCTGAAAGCCAACTAGACTTCAAGTTTAAGTTAGTCCCAGCTGTCTCTCTGTGGGTAAATAGATACTTTCCATTAAGTCTTTTGAAATCCTGAAAATAGCAAGCAGCTACCTATTACTTCCAATCTAGATCTTCCTGGGGGTCCAGGGAGCCCAGGTGGGAAACCGTTCATATCTTCTACGTCTGCTCTCTCTTTTCCTCAGTTCCCTCTCAATCATGGAGCAGGAAACTGAAATGCCTGCTGACAAATCTTATTTTTCCAACACATATTTATTTGCTTTTTAAAAATTGTGCCCTCTCAGATATTCCCTGAGCACTTGAGTGCAAAAATAAAACCTGGAAATAAAGAGTCAAAGCTGTCAGGGCAGCAGCAGCTCCAGTGGCAATGCCAGCCCATCCATTCCTGGCTAACATTTGACATGCAGGGCCATTTTAAAAAAGCCATTTTGAGAGATTTTTCTTACTGGACTCTACTCATCTTGATCCAGGAAGGATTCTATATACAAAAATCATTCCCTAAAAATAGAATTTGAACACTTGAGTACAAGGACCATGTCTCATTTGTCTTTGAATCCCTAGGCTCCAGCCAAGGGAATTAAAAAGGAAAAAAGTGCTTGGTAAGTGCTAAGTGCTTGGTCTTCTGTATTTGTTGTGTGCATGCATGAGTGAACGAACAAGCAAACAGCTTTCCACTAGCCTCTATTTGTGGAATTTAAAAGGTTAGTGATGTATACCAACAAATCCAGAAATCCCTGTTGTACATGCAGTACCTGAAAAAAAATCCATTCCATCTTCTAGTCTGTCCCTGTCCAGGGTGATCTCTTGTTCTTTAGATGTTAGTTATCTGTTGGGAGTAAAGGTCATCCTAGTTAGCAGTAGCCCTCATGGCCCTAGAGGATCAGCTGGGTGCCCCAGTGCTGTAGCCAAAAGGCTACCATACGGATAGTTCTTCAGTGTTGTAAATGTGTGTGGGAGTGCCAGGGTCTTTTCACCCCGTGCCTTCAGGCATTGGAGCCTGGGCTCTTTCTGCCCTTCCCATGCCCCACAATACTCCATTCAGTGGGCCTCAGCCATCTGCTGACTTTAGAACTTAGCTTGTGTTTTCTGCTAGCTTCACCTGAAGGGCTCCTGCTCATACATCTTTTAGGATTCAGCTGCAGGATCACTTCCTGCCATTTGGACACCAGAATGCCTCCTGCAGTCTGGCAGTGCTTCCCAGCATCTGGTTGATCCTCCCTCATAGCAATAATCACACTGGGATGGATGAGTATATCTTCATGGTTCCTTTCCTTCTTGACACAGAAGTGCCTTGATGGCACAGTTTTGCATTTTGACTGCCTTCCATTGTTTGGTATGCAATAGGCACTTAATAACTATATGTTGATTAGTTGGTCAGCTGAATGCATGAATTAATGAATTAATATCTGTATGTTACGGGCCATTGACGAGCCTCCTGCTGATTCCGCTCTTACCTTTGATGTTCACATCCCCCACCCCCGTACCCCAGCAAACCCATAAGCTCTGGTCAGGTCGCTCTATCAAAAACCCAGTCAGTCAGTGCCCAAAAGCCTTTGTCTAGCTCTGCTCCTGTTTCTTTCCTCCTTCCTTCCAATATCTCAGGTTGGGATTTTTTTTTTTTTCATTTCGACACTGTTGGAGGATATGACCAGTGAATTTATATAATCCATTGTGCTTCTCACATTTTACAAACTACCTTTGAGTACTCTTAGATCATCCATCGTTGCTATCAAATAAATAAGTGTTAGCGGTTCATAAAGACTCTGTCAGCAGAAGCCAAATTGCGTACTTCCAATATAGCACATTCTTTTTATTCTGCACAATTTTTATGTCCTACTGATTTACATATCTTCCCTACTATTTGCTTATTTGATTTCCTCTAAGTAAAATACATTTTTCAGCAAATGTTGCTGTGTGTATAAAATAATAGGCTTTCTGTAAAAGACCTCATCTCTAAATATAGAAATATTTGCAGATTTATGATTCAAACCAATTTAGGTACAACTGGTTATAGAATTGATTTGGAAGACAGTTGTTCCTTGTAAATTGTTAGTGTAATAAGCACTCTACTCTTCCAAGTCTGAATGAATTGGGAAAGTTGTAGGTTCTAGCATGGTATGTCTTTAGATGCAAACAGATCTTGACATCGTAATGACAATAGCAATGATAATAAAAACCCACAATTGCAGGGCATTTTTTGCTTCTCAGAGAACTTTCAAATCAGGCTCAGTAACACTTCCATACTTTACTCAGATGATACAATAAGTAAATAAATAAATAAGCAAGAAAAAATCTCATATTGCAGAAGGGACTGTGAGAGGTACTTATGGCTAAATAGTGTCCTTCAAAAGAGCCTGAATGCCTTTTTCTCCCTTGCCTCTCCACTTCAGTTAAAAGCTACATTGTTAAATATATTAGGAGCATTAGAAAGGAACTTATCAAAAATAGACCATCCTTTGGCTTGTTCTCATGTATGTTTGATCCACATTTAGTACTTTTGCACGCAACTTCGTCTCTGTTGAAGCCAGGTTGGAATGGTAACCCCTCACACACATGACAGTCCTGGCAGGGCTGTTGGCCAACAGTGATGCCACCTTTGAGTGAGGCTGCACACGAGTCCCTGCCCACCTCTTTCTTACTGATTGTGTGGCTGTGGGCAAGTTTTCTCAACTTGTAAACTGGACATAATATCATTTACCTTAAAGGATTATCATAAGGGCTGAATGAACCAGTGTTTGTGAAATCCTGGTGTGGAACCTAGCTGAGGATGAATACTCAATAAATCCTAGCTCTTATTGCTTCCTTACTATCTTATAAAAGAATGCCACTCCTGCCTTCATCAGTGGCACCCCCTGTCTCCAGAGCCAGCCAGTTTCTATCCCCTTTCCCCTATTTTAGTTTTGACCGTGGTCTTATAACATCTGATGCAATGTGTCTGTTTGCAGCTTACTCCTCCATGCCTGGCACAGTGCCAGGTATATAGTAGGTACCCAGTAACTCT